ACTATTGAATTGCAAAATCCATTAGGATTACTGGATCAGGTCTACCTATCTTCCCAATCAGACACCAGAGCATGGTCATTAGAACCATCTGGGATATCACTTGCAAGTCCTTCTCTGAGTATCTTATCAAAAACCATCCATTAAGCTAGTTCCACATTGCTAAAGTGTTTTAGAAAGCGCCTGCGCCATCAAAGGTAAAGGTGTTTACTTGCAGAACTACGCATCAAGACTTAATAACTAACGAGATGCTATAAATCAAGTGTTCTCGTCACATTCTATCTCTAGATATTTTTATCATGTGCTTTTAAGGAAGTGAATCTTATTCCCATTTATTCCTCCATTATGGAATACCCCGAAAGATGTGGCGAGATTGTTAAGAATGTTTGGATTAAATTGAGTCACTCCTTCTACAGTTGAGAGTTTCTTATACATACATATAAAGGGTGATAGGGTTAAAAAGGAAGGGAAACCATTGTCAAGAGGGGCCATCATCTCCAGGTTATGGATATTATGGCTTGCAAGGAATTGGAGAATCTTCAGAGACAGACATAAGTCTAGGTTATTACTAAGAATATACTAGTAAAATACTCAGGGTAAAGAATATCATTAAGAATTTTTGCAAGATTTCAAACCTTTGTATAATCAGGGTAAAGAATATACTAGTAAAGTACTCATATGTAAGTAATTATGCATTTCCTTTTATTATCCCAAGAATGTGTATACAGAGGGCCCTCTAATTTAATAATAAACACAATATTCTGTTCTTACACAAAGAACACAAACATGTCAAGTTCAGTTGAGATGATAAAGAAGAAATAACAGATTTAATGTAAGAAGAACAAAGAGTGAGCAAAAATCTAATAGAAAGGGAAATTTTAGTTTTTCTTTAGATCCCTATGTGGGTAAAATGATGAAAGGACTAGATTATTATTTTTAAAGATAATGAACCTAGTTTTAATTATAACCTATACCCGAACATCAAGAATCTCCATGCAATTTATTTATAACGACTTCATAGAAACTTAAAAACAAAATTGATTACTTAAGAACTCACAATTTGACATCATGCATTGAATGTCTATCCCCAAGGATGGTGGCTTTTGTAGTAATAACAAGCAAAGGATGAAGTTGTAGGAGCTTTCTGATCTCGTGGACAACACTTTCAAAGACATTCTGAAGAGAAAGGTTTCTCCTGCACATTTTCAAATAAAATTTCATCATTCATATCTATGTTAGAATCTATTTGGCCAAGCTGGTGCTTTCATTGTGGGCTTCCAGTAAAACTTACTAGAAGTAAAAGGATAGTTAGTTCACTAAAATTTTCCATAGAAAATAGTTTTAATTATTTGATACTAGTTTAATAAATTATCTAATAAAATAAGTGTGATATGTTCAAAAGATAAAATTCGTAAAATAATAAAAAAAAATTTATTAGAATTATTTAAATAATATTGATATTTCTCTTTAAAAAATTATTTTGATAGCTCATGCTAGACTATTCAATTTTTAATAATAATAATAATAAAAGTTGTATTAGTTTTAATGCAAACAAACTTCTCTAGAGCTTCTATGTTTCCGGATTTTTTTTTTCAATTTTTTTTTTTAAGTTTCATTACTTAGTTTTCTTTTAGTGTTAGCTACTTAAAATTCTTGTTTATTTATTCTGTTAATTATAGAAAGTCTAAAATGAGTTAAACTAATGGTATTCAATTAACTCATTAATAGTTAAACAGCAGATATTGTTCAAAATAAATGTGTTAACATTGTTCTTTTGATTAACGGTTAAAGTATAATCAGTAAAATTGTTAAAAATAAATTATTTACACTGAATTTTGAAAATAAAGCATAAGTCCTGAAACAGTATTAAACCGTACTCTGCTCTTACTTTTAAAATAATTACTATTTGATTTTTAAAACAAAATTTCTTTATATTGATAACAAATAAAATTATTAATAATAAATTACATTATTTATTTTTATTTAAAATTATTAAGATAAATCAGTAAAAATATATTTAAAGTACTCTTAAAAATATTATTCCCCTCTTATCGCACAAACTATATCTAATAACCAACTATTTTAGTTTCAAGTTTCATCTTTATTAAAAGCCCTTTTTACTTTTTGCCGTTTTGTCAGACTTCTGCTTTTAGACAGAAAAGCATAAACATCGGGACAAACAATTTCTTAGTAACTAATGAAGCCTTCCCAGAAGAGAACCAGTGGCTAATGAAACCTAGAAAAGTCTTTTCCAATAAAAGAAGAATTTATTGACAACAAAAGGAAAGGATTACATGAAAGCAAAGTAAGACAGCCTCTAGAGTGAACAAAAGAAAAGTATAAGAAGCCCAGAAGAGCCAAAAGAGCAAAAAAAATATAAAAAAAGACAGCCATCATATCAAATTTAAGTGTTGTGATTAATGATATCCAGTTATGGTGGAGAATGGACATACTAATATAATGATAGGAATCATTTCCTTTGGCACCCAAGGAAACCAAAAAAATTCTGTAATATTCGGATTCGAAAAGCAGTTTGAGATAATTTTTTTTTATTAAAATAATTATTTAATTAATTTTATTTTTATTTAATTAAAATTTAAGATAAGATTAAAAATAATTTTTGAAAAAATTAGTGAAAATTTGAATTCAGAAAGTATTTTTTAAAAAAATTAAAAACAGGAAGTCAAAGTGCAAAAAAGAAAAATTCGGTCACTTAGGATGACTCAGTTAGTAGCCTCGACGAATCGGAGCACACCATGTGCCAAAATACGCCGATGTCGGTGCCACATGGGAGGCCACGCGGGCGATTCGCATGTCCAGCGATCCGACAGCCCAGGTTTAGATCCTGCGCGTGTAAACGGCTCAAATTCGTTTCCTCCTTACGTGCGATTGGATGGATGAAATCAATCGCGATGAACGACCCAAATTCGTTTCCTTCTTAGACATGATCGAATGGATGAGATCAATTGCGATGAACGGTCAAAATCAACGCATGATGGGTATAAATAACTTGCGTGGCAGGGGAGCTTCAACCCTAGTCACCAGCCCCTGCCGGAGAAGAAGAACCAGGCGTCGCGAGAATGAGGCTGACCATCGACTGCCAAAAAATGTAAAATTTTTCTCTACTTGCTCGAAATTCGATTTCGAGCATCCATGTGGCCAAATCAGAGCAAGAGGGATGACGGGTGAACCAGAAACTGCGGATAAAGCCTGGCGAAGCCGCCGCAGCCAAAACCCAAAAATTCCTCTGATGAACCCCTTCCCGCTTCTCGTTTCATGCGATTTTCCGATCATTGTGTTCACTATTTTTTTTATGCAAGTTAGCCGAAGAAGGAACCCCAGCCACGAAGAACGACCGATGGAGCCACCGTACTCAGAGACTCCCCCGCCGGTAGGTTCGGCTTTTCTGTGATTTTTCGGTCAACCGAAATCCCCTAATGTGTTTTTTCTATGGGAATACGTGTAAAATCGGCAAAAACCGATAAAAACCAGCAAAAAATGGCCAAACCGAGGTGAATTGCCACCGTTACGGCAAAGCCAGTGCCGGAGCACAGCGCCACCACCATACCGGAACTCCAAAATTGGCCGGAAAGAGTTTTGAACACCGATTTTGAATTCCGCAAGAAAAATTCATGAAACTCGATACCGGTTAGGAAGCGTGGTAGACAACGTGACGACTCGAAACATTGATTCGGGTAAGAACTCTTCACCCTATTCTCCGTTACGATAAATTGAAGCTTAATAACGTATAATTTTATATTTTTGTAAAAAGTTATAAAATCTTAAAAATAATTACAGGTCACTAGTGGAGTCGGAACCGGTTAGTTCACAATTATTCTGATTTCCTGTTTATTTTCTTATATTGTCCTACTTACTTGTTATCGTATTGAGCATATTCTTAATTTATAGTTTTAATTGTCTTATCGATTTATCTAGTTTATTCGGTTATTTGATTACTCGATCCCTTATTATAATAAACTATATCGTCTGCATAAATATCGTTTAATTGATCTATAAATATAATATAAGATATTGATATGCATTTGTTAGTTGTTTTACTTGATGAGAATTTTTATGTGAAAGACTTACTGGGTACTTAGGGAAAGGGCGGACGGGTTCGGTACATAGAAAACTTTACTGTGAATGTCACCTCAGTCGGATGAAGCTGGGAAGTCCCATACCGAAAAAGTTTGAGAAATATAGTTCATTTTCATACCGAACGGGGTATCGAGACGATAGAATGTTTAGCGTTCATTACCGGATGGGGTATAAGAATGACCGGTTAATTGTTAAAATTGGATATTGAGTTCACGAGTAAGGGTAAGAAAGAAAAATTATCGTCATTTATTCTTTTATGCGTGAAAATTAAAAGTGGTATGGATATGAGTTTTCATATGTTATTTTTGAAAAACTCGTAACGGTATGTATCAAACAAACGTTTTTATGTTAAATGTAATTAATTAACGCAAGGGCTCCATTAGTTGTTTTTTTTATTTTTACCAATATTTAGTTTCCCGTATCTATTATTAGTATGATATTCTTACTGAGGTAGTGTAACTTACCCTTTCATTAAACATTTCAGATTAAGAATATCAAGATCCAGATCCTGATCAGTAAGAGGGTTGTGAATAGTTCACCACCTGGACTCCCTTCAAGTACTAGTGAAAGATGTCCTATAATCCTTATTTATTCGTTTTTTTTAATTACTGTTTAACTTTTAGAAATAATATCCCCGTATCCTTATTGGGCATTCTAAATTATTATGAAAGAATGTAAATTCTAACTCTATTAGTAGCTTCCGCATTTAAATTATAAATTTATTTCTTTTAAGATTATGGGCATTTACAGTTGGTATCAAAGTCGCGTTTCTCAGAACTATTACTTACACAAAAACTTAAAAACACAAAAAACGAACTATCACTCAACCATTTCTTATGAAATGCAAGTACAAATATATGAGAAGAGGAAGGCCCCACTAAACCGAGCAGCCCGGGATGTCTCATTTTAAGAGGATATTGACCGACTCTTTGAGATGCTGAAGAGACTCATCTCTGCCCAGCGGGCCCGGGAGGAAATGAGGGAGCTGTCTGACCCTCCCCTACTATCACAATTTAAGTCACCCTTGTAGCGGGAAGATTCGGAACCACCCCGGTACAACTCTGTTCCTCCATTGTACCATCCGGCACCGCCATAGTATAATTTGGTGCCTCCATCGCATCATCTGGCACCGCCACAGTACAATTTAGTGCCTCTACCGTATCATCAGGCATCACCACATAACCACCCAATTTCTTCCCAACACAATCCAATCCCTCTTCCACGGTACCCAATTCCACTCATGATGGACTAAACCCATCAACCTTTGCAGGGGTATTCTCTTTTGTAGAGGTCGAGTATTGATTAGCTGAGACAGAGAATGCCTTCGCGACTCTTGGAGTGGTTCCCGAACAGAAAGTTGTACTTGCCACCTACATGCCCCAGTAGACCACCCTGTCTGTTCCAGCCACTTGGGAACAATTCCTAATGGCCTTCAATGCAAAGTACCTCCTATAGCACTTCAGACATTTGAAAGAAATAGAGTTTGTACACCTACTTCAGGGTAATATGAGTGTATCGGAGTATACCCGAAGGTTCCTAGAGTTGGGTCGATATTCTCTTGAGAGCATGATGGATGAAGGCAAGAAGGCAAAGAAGTTTGGATCAGACAGCAGCTGTACGTATTTGAGCTCAGAATTTACTCAGCCGTTCTGGACAAGACACAACTAGTGGAGATGAATGTTCGCATCTTTCCTCCAACAGTGGGGAATCTCATACCCCCAGTTTCACACTGCAGACCAGCACCCATTGCACTGATTCAGTAGAATAAGAGACCTAAACCAGTGACTCAGGCTCTTCCTCAGGCTCCAATAATAGGACGTGATAGGACTTGCTAGCACTGTGGCAAAGATCATGGGGACCGATCTTACTATCGCCTCAACAATACCTGCCGTATATGTGGGAGTGCCCAACACTACGCGAGAAAGTGCCCGCAAAATCAAAATCAGGTCAGACCTCCTATCTAGGACAAAGTTTACAATCTCACTCAGTAAGATGTTGAAGCCAACACAGACGTAATATAAGGTACGTACACTATCTGTACCTTGCACATATTTTGATTGATACTGGTGCTTCACATTCATTTGTCTCACATACTTT